AAATAAGGAGAAAAGGACTCTGAGATTGTACTCGCCTGGGGGAGTAGCAGGGACTGAGCTGGAATCGCATGCAGCAATTAGTCACGAAAATCGCTATTCACATAGATGCTTTCCCTGCTGATCTCCTGATCGAGGCCATTAAACCGTCAAGGAATATTCAATTGTATAGGCAATTAATAGAAAGTCAACGCCGTATGGACCAGAAATCGATGGGATGTAGGCTGGTCGTCGATTTACGCTTACACGAGGATTTGAAACTACCCGCGCTGCTGGTTAAAGAAAACGAGGTTAGACCAGCCATGATAAGACGGATGTGTAACAACCCCGAGCATCTTAAGGTGACGGTATTAGTGTTCTAGTTTTCGGGGGTGCCACGGTAATCTATGTAGTCACGACTATATCGGTCCACGTCCGTGGATGTGCTTGCCATCAACGCCAGCGCTATACCTGGTGTCCAGCACCTGAAAACGTTTCAGCGGCGATTCCAACAAGAAGGCTCCGCTCCAATAAGAACTGTTGGCTAGAGCTATTGTGGGGCTGCGTTTTGAGGAAATGGAAACGGATTTCGCATGATAGCTATTTTATTATTATTTAGTAATCCAAGTCAGCGACTATCTGCCCAAATATCATGTGTCACCCTAGAAATGGGACAGTTCAGAGAGGGGGCAGCTTGACTTCAAGGCATTGTGAATAGAATATGGACAAAATGGCATGTGCCGAACCTGATCTTGAGCCTGCCTGGATGCCTGGATGTTTCGTGATAGGCTGTGTTTGCGCCTCGTTTGAGGAGAACACCGCCCGGCTACCAAGTGTCTTGTTAGATGTGAAGATGTGGGGTTTAATTTCGTATTTTAAAACTTCATAATCAATGGCTAGTTCTCTCTCGTTAGTTAGAACATTCCTAAGCTAAAGATGAGTAACTTGGCAGCTAATGGCTAGCTTGACGATCGGATTCACCGTCGGAGTTTGCCTCTCGAACGCGTAAAGTGTGGGAGGTTGGGTGGCACTCGACTTGACCGGTGACCCTTCAATATTCCCTGGAATTAGCCTGATTAAACGGACGTATTAGATATGGTAATTTGCTGGAAATCACTGGTCTTACCATTTCTTTGGTCACTATGGCACGCCCAGGGTGAAGCATCAAACTATGTAGATGTCCTAGAATAACGGACTTCAGTATGTGGCTGTCCGACAGGCACCGACCAACCGATACGTAGCATCAGAAGTTGGGCAGGTCAGCTGAGCAGTACGTCTTTGTTCTCTTGTCTCAAAAGTCTCGACTTCATATTGCAAAGATCCTGCGATGAAATCGCGTTCTTGTTTGCGCGTAACATTAGTGCAGGCACAGTGACGATACTTTTGAGTGGGAAAACTTGACCGCCACTCAGTGTTGCCCGACGATTACATAAGTAATCACACCCCTGGCATTTACCCTTTTCCAATTTCCAACACATCTTGGATCGCCATTCGCCTCCATATGTTGGGGGATTCACTCAATCCCTCCTTATGTCCAAAGGCGCACCAATGCATCTTGATCGACGCTCTTGGAAGGAAACCTTGCCTGATTTCCCCGAGTGACTGATTGAGTATCATCCCGTCTGTGACTTCGACGTTCCTTGAACTCCCTTTGGGAGGCTGTTCCAGCTCCTTGAACCCATATTAGGGCGCTCGATCGTGTCATTTAAATAGAACCTCCCTGACACTGCAATCTTCAATTTTCCCTGATAAGGCCTGGGTTTAATGCTCCTTCGTTCTGCAACGCAACCTCTTCATTGACTTGACCCCCCATCGACCGCGTCTTTGAGACCAGACCAACCTTCTTGACTGGCAGAGTACTTTATGCAAACTATACCTACTCCCTGGTGGTTAGGTATGTGTTTTCGACAGTTCTGAACCCATGTTTGCTGAACACGCATCTGTAGAGCTCGAAGCCATGATTCCAGTGCAAAAAGTAGAGACGCAAGAAGATGGAGCATATAAGTCCAAAATATTTGGCTCGTATTCGGAATCGCCCTACAAGAGCCAAGAGTCGAGGATCTTCCCCAGTGCTTTATCCAGTACGGCACCATCGTTGTTTTTCTGTTGCCCAGTCTGACCGAAGACAAAAAAAGATTCACAGACATGGAACCTATTGGAGCTTAGCCCAGTAGAATCATGTAAGGCGCCCTGACAATTGAATCGAGTCGAGTCTGATGCTTCAAATATAGTCTCAACTTGTGACGCAACCCTACTGCACCCGCTTTACCCTTCTTGTGACGGTCCTTATATATCTGGTTTGTTCCTTCACTGAGTTTAACTCTCGCTGGCCTCTCATTTCTTCCTACTGCTTTCAGAAAACACAGAAGCGGAATCGATGTGGCCTTGGGGACCTTCCTATTCTCCCTCGCCATCTACGTTCTATGACAATGGAATACCGTACCCATCTACGCCCTCATCCCCCACATACAGCAGCTATTCACACAACGATGGTGCGTCTACTATACTATCTATCCACTTCATATGTAATTAATGCCACTATGTTTACAGTGTCCCCTTCACCGCCCCTTTTGAGCGATTTTTCAAATGTTTTTGAGCACGAGTACCCCTGTGCATCGCTGCCTGACGATTTCCGCGTGTCGGAATCGAAATCCCTACCCCACTCTTCGTCCATGTCACGCCGCCGATCGCCCCGTCCTTCTCGGAAAGGCTATTTCCCAGACTCGCGTCCAAAATCTAAATCACGGGAGCCATCCCCCTCAAACAGTGAATCTGACCCAAAGCGACGCTTCCCGTGCCAGATTCCTGATTGCGCGCGCCGCTTTACCAGCCAGTACACCCTCAAGGTGCACATGGAGGCGCACAAGCCCAAACCGCGTCAGTCGTTCCCGTGCACGTTCCAATGTGCTGAGACCTTCTCGCGGCAGCACGATCGCCTCCGCCACGAGGTCTCGAAACACGGGAAAGTGTGCGAATTCTTGTGCAAGGATTGCGGACGTTTCTTCTCCTCTAGCAAAACACTTGGGAACCACAAATGCCCTGTTGCACAAGGCTGCACGCGTTGGGTGAACAATTGTAGCTGATGTGTGTCGTTATCTTGACGTACATACACTTTCCTGGATTTTTTTTCTTTTTTTTTCTTTTCCGATTTCCAGATACCTTGCATATACTTACTTCTCAACGACCAGTGGTTTACTCGTGACGAGACATGGACTCAAACAGACCATCTAAATTTTTGTAGGATATATCTACTTAACGTTTATGGACTTGGATTAGATTAGAGAGCTTGTAGGATATAATGTGTACATGTAACATTCAAATCGATCAGAAGAGTCTTCACTCGAATAATGGGTTCGAGCCAAAATTACTAGACCTCGTTTGAGTAGTTTGAAGTTGTCAGAGGAGGTCCGTTATAATTTCAACCAAGCTGGTTGGAAGAGAATAATTCGTCAAAGAGATGAATGAAACCTTGACTGCAAAGACAAGGAGGCGACATGTATAACTGAATTCAGAGTATTAACCAAGACAAATTAACATTTTCATTCAATATTCAAGTCAAACTAAACAACTAATCCTAAACCAGCTTAGCGAGAGCCTGGACCTGTGCCAATTCAGCGGCCTTCGCGCCAGGAGCGTTCTAAAAATACTGTCAGTAAATTATACGGCCTGGAAACCTTGAAAACTAACCTTGAGAACCTTGCCAAGCTGATGCTCGACGGTTCCGCCAGCCTTGACGGCAACACCCGTCGCCTGGTTGATACGAGCGATCTGGAACTGAAGGAAGAACTTGGGGCCCTTGAGCTTGTTGAGCAGCGCTCCAGGGTTGGGGTTCGACTGTAGATAAGACACCACAGTTAGCGAGTAGATCTAAACGAGGCACATAGCAACGTACCCGGAGGCCAGTCTCAACCGCAAGGTAGGTGTTCAGCTGGTTCTGGAGCTTGGCCTTGTCTGCCTGCTTGGGGTCGGCGGGGATCGCGAAGTTTTTCCTGGAGGAGAAAAAGGTCAATAAATAAAACTTCCGAATTCTATAGTACAAGAGTGGCGCACAGAGCAAAGCCAACGGGGGAATCACCGGGAGAGTTGGCAAAATCAATGCTGCTGAATGTGATGCCTCCAGAAGTTACATCAGGAACGTTAGGGCGGACTTGTTTCTGGGTAAAAAAGATGAGCAGGAGTCATGGAATGAGGTCATATTAATACTCACAGCAGCATTGCAAGTGACGGCCTTCGCAAGGGCAGCAACACCGTTCTGAATCTCAGCAGGGAGGGCGACATTTCCGGTCTGGAAGCACGGGTTGGCGCGGGGGACATTCAGGGGAGCTTTAATATGCATCGTTACATTTTGATCTAAAAATTGAAGAGATGAAAACCCACCAGCGAGACCGAGAGTCGCGAGGGACATAACAACAAAGGAGGTGGAGAACTTCATGGCGATCGAAGAAAAGGATTAGAAACTAGCTTGAGAATGGGTGGATATAACTTGAATGAAAGTGAAAGGACCCAGTCCTGGTAAAAAGAGAGAAAGAGAAGAAGGGGATGTCGAGACAGAAGGTCTGCCAGGGATTTATATACATGGTTGTCGGTGTTGTTATGACAATCCGGGTGATCATCCATACTGACGGCGTCGGAGCTTCTAGTCGCCAACAGAAGTCGCCAACTACAGGCCGCCGGATTTCCTCATGTTCAATCCTTCATGCAGACACCTCGCCTGCCTGACATCGCTCACGCCGGTGATGGGATTTGGAAAATAAATCAGCTGCGCATGTGGTCGTAGCCCGAGTCGTCCACGCATGAAAGCCTCGATTTTCGAAGCGACGCCGTCTTCGCGCCGTCATGTAACATGACAGGAAGCTGCGAGCGGCATGGCAGCGGCCCAGCACTTGGTCTTCACGATAAATTCAATAGCCTTCACCATCGCAAGGAGCAGCTGCCAGTACTACCAAGTAGGGGTGCCAAGAATTCCGAATTCACGGGCATCTTGATTATGTTTTCAATAAAAGTTTGGCAAACGAAAAATTACATACACCGAAGGGGAATCGAACCCCTGCCGCTTGCTACCGACTTGGATGAATGGAAGGCAAGCATGATAACCACTTCACCATCGGTGTACTTGGGTTATCCTCGTCGTATGTTGTTGAGAATTCTGTCTTCCAGAGCCTATTCTTAGGCCAACTCGATCCTATTATAAAAGGATCAATGTACATTAGCTCGTCGAGGAATATTAATGTAGAACGTTGAGGAGGACGGAGGAGAGTGTCGCAACCCGAGAAATCTCCGAGTTCCGAACAAGAATAACCTGTGGCCACTTTGGTCTCCCTAGTTGTGTTCAACTTGTATATTCAAGTTCTTATTCGTATCTTTCAACCACATTTGGAGCCTGGGAATACTCTTAATTTGAGGTGCGGAGTAGAGTTAAGGATTAGAGTCCTTGGCTCTCCTCGGGTAGCGTGGCCATCTACTAGAACTGCTCTTCCTGGCCTATTTACTACCGCGCCCACCCTGGTGACTGCCTTGAACTATCTTTGGACCTCCTCTTTGAATAGATTACATATATCGCACAAGATCGTGACATTGGCTTACGACAGTTTTGACAATGGCATGACTTGATGGGTGTATCAGCGAGGTCTGGGCTTATTGTGCGTCTTAGCTTGCTTCATCTTGGTTCGCTCCTTCCTACCGCTCTGGTGTGTAGTAGTATGCCAAAAAAGCCCCGCGATAACCCATACCTCGCCCACTTGCCACCCTCCCAGCGCGGGGCAGGATCTCATGCGCCAGGCAACGAGCCTCTATATGGTTTCATACCAAGAAAAGTGAAGGGAGAACAAGTGCGCAAAGCGATGGTGAGCCAAGATCAGTTTTTTCGCTCAGTATCTGCAAATATTTCAAAGGGTCAAGATGTGAACCCTTTCACGAAACAACCGCACTCTGCTCAGTACCAGGAGGTCCTCAAAGCTCGGAGGAAGCTGCCGGTATATGCAAAGATGGACGATTTTTTTCAGGTGGTACGCATCTAGAGTTGAGCTTCTGCTATGGATGGCATTTCCGTCCGTTCTCCTTGATTGATGCCCAGTACAGTTCGGCGAAAATCAAGTCATTATAGTGGTGGGAGAGACTGGATGTGGAAAAACTACCCAGTAAGTATCCAGATATGCTTTTCAAAAAATCTCTGTTGCTTCCAGAACTGTAGAATACCCCAGTTCGTGGCGTATTCGGATTTACCACATACGCGAGGTAAGGTGGTCGCATGTACACAACCAGGAAGAGTCGCGGCCACGTCTGTTGCGAAGCGTGTCCCAGACGAGATGGACGTCCAGCTTGGGCGGCATGTCGGTTACTCTATTCGATTTGAAGACATGACGGAGCCAGGGACCACTTTCCTGAAATACATGACGGATGGTATGCTTCTGCGTGAGGCGATGAACGACCCGGACCTGAAGCGGTATTCGACCATTATTATCGATGAGGCTCACGAACGCACAGTCGCAACCGACATTCTAATGGGTTTGCTCAAGTCGCTTGCGAAGCGCCGCAAGGACCTTAAAATCATCGTCATGTCCGCGACACTTGACGCGCTAAAATTCCAAAAGTATTTCGGCCTTGCCTCTGAGAGTCCCGCTCCTCTGTTCAAGGTTCCCGGACGTACGCACCCTGTGGAAGTGTTCTACACACAGGAACCCGAACCAGACTACATAGAGGCTGCGATCCGTACAGTGTTAATGATTCATCGCGCCGAAGACCCCGGAGATATCCTCTTGTTTCTGACCGGTGAGGAGGAGATTGAGGAAGCATGTCGTAAGATCAAGCTCGAGGCAGACGACTTGGTCAACCAGGACCCTGACTCCGTCGGTCCGCTCGTGTGCATACCACTTTACTCTTCACTCCCGCCACAAAGACAGGAGAGAATATTCGATCCACCACCGAGCGCGCATTCTGCAGACGGCCCACCCAGGCGCAAGGTAGTCGTATCGACGAATATTGCGGAGACATCTCTGACTATTGATGGGATTGTATATGTGGTTGATCCCGGCTTCTCGAAACAGAAGGTTTACAACCCGCGCATCCGTGTGGAGAGTTTGCTGGTTAGCCCTATTTCCAAGGACTCAGCACAACAGCGTGCAGGTCGTGCAGGTCGTACACGGCCTGGGAAGTGCTTCCGGCTGTATACGGAGAAGGACTTCAAGTCGGAGTTGGAAGAGCAGATGCACCCCGAAATTCTGAGGGGTAATCTGAGCAGTACAGTTTTGAGTTTGGTGAAACTGGGGGTCAAAGTATGTTCTCCGAGTTTGTGACCATAGATTCTCAAAGTGATCTTATTGCACGAAGGATATTGTTCGGTTTGACTGGCTCGATGCCCCAGCCCCAGAAACGTTGATGCGTGCACTGGAGCTTCTTAACTATCTTGCGGCACTTGATGACGAGGGCAGCCTCACACCTCTTGGTGCAATTATGGCTGAGTTCCCGCTCGATCCGCAGGCATGTTTCTCTCAACATTTTCTTCATGCCAAGTATCGATACTCATTGATGTTACAGTTGGCAAAGATGCTCATCGTCAGCCCAGAGTTCACGTGTAGTAACGAGATGCTTACAATCGCATCCATGATGTCTGGTATATTGTTTAATATGCCTGTTTGGGAGAAAGCTGGTCTGATATAAATATCCAGTACCGAATGTGTGGATCCGGCCAAACAACCAAAGGCGAGAAGCGGATGCCGCAAAACAGCTGCTTACGGTCCCAGATGGAGATCACTTGACTTTGTTGAACATATATAACCAATACATCCAGAGTATGCACTTAACTTCAATCCTAATCTTGACCTCACCCGTTTTTAGACAAGCATGATAAGAACTGGACATGGACCCATTATCTATCCCAGCGGGCTCTCATGCAGGCAGATAACGTCCGCGCACAACTACAAAGAACGATGGAGAAGTTTGACGTCGAGCTTGTATCACTCTCAGATGAACGCAAGCTCTTTGTGAACATTCGACAAGCGCTTGTCTGCGGATTCTTCATGCAGGTTGCACACAGAGAGGGTAACAAGGGGAACTACCTCACAATGAAGGATAACCAGGTACTGCACACTTCATTTTCACAATCCGGCTGCTCCCTGCTAACGCATGGCTGCAGGTCGTCGCACTGCACCCGTCCTGCGGCCTGGACTCCCAGCCTGAGTGGGTTGTCTTCAACGAGTTCATATTGACCGCGCGCCCATATATCCGTACAGTCAGTGATGTTAAAGCTGAGTGGTGAGTAGTGGATATTCCGCATGCACTGGGGGGTCGGTCATGCTGACGGTTTCGTGATCTTTTTAGGTTAATCGAATTTGCGGCAAACTACTTTGATCTCTCGACTTTCCCTAACGGCGAGACGAAGCGCGCGTTGCAGCGTGTGGTGAACCGGAGAGCAGGCAAGGCTACAGGGAGGGTGGAGTCGAATGGCACCAAGACATCCAAAAAACGCAGGAAGTAGTGGTCGGGAGGGATAATACTGGCCAGCATCAACGCTTAGTCACAAGTATTATATCCCGAGGTAGACTGGTAAACACTCCCTTCACTAAGAGGCTTACCTCTCAGTGGAGGGGACGTTTACTGGCCTTGTCCCAAGGTTCTGTTTGTTCTGCACTCTTAATTTCTTTGACTATGACCGCCTTGCTTAAGACGACTGTCACATGTATATATGCCAACAGTTGATAAATTTCGCCGACTGTGAGCAACTTGAACGGTCTTTGGACTGAATACGAGATAGCACTAGTTTAACGTTTAAAAGTGCTGGTTTTTCTGCACTCAAATCTGCTATCTCCATTTAGTATACAATTTAAGATCAAGATCATGTTGGCAGTAAAGTTGTGAACGTTCAATTGTTTACAACGATAACCACCCTCTGCCACCATGGACCGCCCTCGACGCTCAACACGCCAACCAGCGAAATTCCTCGACGCTACAAGGTCCTCTCCTCCTCCTGCATCCTCCCCCATACGTCCCAAGCGGAAAAGCCAAGATGTCGATCCAGTGAATCAGCTACACATGCTCCTCACGAGCCCCAAGAGCATCCTCACAAGCATAGACATCTCAGTAAGTCGAAAGGCTCTCCCATACGGTGCTCGCTGCATGCTGCACATCTCACAGGTCGTCAAGTCGCTCATAAACAACGCCAGGACCTGATCAATGCCGCCTCATGGGACATGCTCTCCCCGGATTCGAAAGCGATGCTCAAGGCCCTTCTACCACCGACTGCTTTTTTAGGATTCCGTGAGATGATCGGGCAGGACCATCCCTCTGCTGCCGAGGCAGAGAGTGATGTAATGGCCATTGACGCCATGGGTGAGGTTGACACCTCTCTGTTCACGGATCCACATTTCTTGGCCGCTGCGCACACACTGCAGGATCACATATACTCGGACTGGATGAGCGATGCGCATGCACTCAAGGTGAAGAGGTTTGAGGAGGGCGTGCGTGATGGGACGATGGCAGCGGCGTGGAAGGACGAGGTGTGGGAGCGTAATAATGCGGCGCCTGTTGCTGCGGTCATGTCAACTTCAGAGTCGGGCGCTCGTGCGGGGTATGTTATCATCTTCCCTATTGCATTTTAATGCTTGATGGAATTTACAGCGACGCGGCGGAAGTCAAGCTCGTCACTCTAGCGAAGAGCGGAGTGCTTCGCGTTGGGGACCTCATCGTACTGAAGCGCAACTTCCAAAACCTCAACCTCGTCGTCGAGAAGGACGCCATTGTAACTTGATCCTTACTCGTCATTTTATTTCATCTTACATGCTTTCTAGATCCAATCCATACACCCCAAGACACATGCTTTGACTGTCCTCTTCGAGCCCGGACCCGCTGTGCACCTTCCACAGCACTTATTATCTCCATATCCAGGCGAAGCGTCTGCACCAACCCAAGTTGCTTCTATTACGAGTCCAACACAGTTGGAGACAGCACTGCTGGACAACGATGGACGCGTCGAACGAGCGCGGCGTCCGAATGGGAATGCCTGGAAGTGCATGACGGTGTGGCGCTGGAGGGGCGAGCCCCCGGATACCCCGGGGGACGGGGACGGCAGGTGGGGCAGGGAGAGCCATGCAACACTATTTTACTTGCGTGGAACGTA